TTATTTTACTTTCGTAAATGAGAAATTCTTTACCTTGGTGGAAAGGTATCACACAAATATATAATGTAGCTCTATGTAAGCATAACTTTGAAATAACCAGATGTTCTTTTGGCATCATACTTCTTTGGAGTGGAAAAAGGAGACTCAATACTTAACAGTCATACAATTTCATCTCAAAGATATGCTTCCTCTCAGCAAAGTAAAGGGGAAAGGAGAGAGATTGCATCTCATAAACATCAGGATGTTTTAGACAATTGTTTTAAATAACGTTTGCTGTGAGTATTCTCAAAGGGGGTACTTACAACAGTGAGTTAAAGTTTAATAGTTCCTGGAAATATCTCCCAGTGGCCCCAGTGCAAGATGATGACAGGCACAGTGTTAGTCATTAGTCTGCTCAGAAGTATTCTGATTGACCTTTCTGTCTCGCTGTGATGAGTGAGGCCCGGAGGCCATTATTTCTAATTCATTTTCAAACTTGTGTTCCTGGCTTCAAAGTGTCTGAACTAGAGAAATAGAGGTACTTTTTTTGTAAACTGTGAAGCTAGAAAGCCCTTCAAGACAAGAAGAATGAAATCCACAACTGAAGACTGCATGAAATTAGCTTATGACAAAAGCTGCCAACAGATGACTGATCTGGCTAAATCATACACTCCAAGATTTTTTATAGAAGAAAAGTCAGAGCAAAAACACTCCTGCTCTTTCAAAGGAAAATGTGAACTGGGGGTGTGGGTGAGGGCAAGGGAGGAAAATGTGCAACAATGAGTGAATGGAAATCCAAGTTATTTATAAACATAATAAAATTTCAATTAAAGAAAAAAAATACTCCTGCTCATCTCCATAAAGTAGCAAATTATAAGACTCCTGCTTTAGCTCCTAATATATGTTGTTGTTGTTATGTGTCATTGAATCACTTGCAACTCATAGCTACTCTATATACAACAGTTCTGAACCCTGTCCTGTCCTATGCCAACCTTATTATCTCTGACACGCCTACCCCTATTACCCCAGTCACTGAGTTAACCCATCTCATCGAGGGTCTTCCTCTCTTGTGCGGTCCCTCCACCCTCCCAAGCATGATGTCCCTCTCCAAGGACTAGTCCCTCCTTGCAACATGCTCAAAGTATGTCAGATGAAGCTTCAGAATCCTTGCCTTGAAGGAGCAGCCTTTTTTCACCCTCTCCAGGACAAATTTGTTTGTTCTCCTAGCGGTCAATGGTACATAAAATACTCTTTTCCAGCACCACAGCTCAAAGACATCAATAATTTTTCTATAATCCTTAGTCACTGTCCAGCTATCTGATGCATAATAAGTAATTGAGAAGACCATGGCCTAGATCAGGCATACCTTAGTCTCCAGACTGACATCATTGCTCTTCAGTACTCTGGAGAGGTCCCTGGCAGCAGACTTTCCCAATGCAATGTGTCTTTTGACTTGCTGGAGCCAAGCAAACTAAAGCTGTTAACACAATCTCAATCTCTTCACCATCTATCATGATGCCACCAATTGGACTACTGGTGGCAATTTTGATTTCTTGATGTTGAGCTTCAATCTGTATTTAAGGCTGTAGTCCTTGACCTTCTGCAGCAACTGTTTCAGGTCTTCCTTTCAGCAGTAGGAGCTGATGCAATTATATTACTCCATTAGTTAACTCATTCGTACAGCGTTGGAGTGGACTCATGGCTGATGGTCCAGCAGCATTGTGGGAGGCTCTAAGTAGCACGGAAAGAGACTGCTCATATTTCTCCTTCGGAGTGGTGGTGCCACCTCTGGGGTTAGCACCACCAGATCATCGGAATTCTGTGGGTGGAATGGTCAGGGGGATGCAGAGATGTTTTAAAATGGAATAATTACTAAGTTGTAGGCCCTAGGGCACAGGCTTGTGATATCTGTACAGAAGATAATTGGTTATGATGGGAATTTGCAAAGACCTAAACTTCCATAGCCGATCCACCCAGAACTCTGCCTCCTTCTCCAGAACCTGACCTTTCCCCTCTCTCCAGGCCTCCTGCTGTGTCACCTTAGCACAGCTTATATCAGCCTACAGATAAAGACTGCAAGTGAGAATCATAACAGCTTCCTTTTACTGTGCGTTCAGTGTCAGGCGCTGTGTTAAGCAGTCTACCTCCTCGATTTTGCTTCATCATCTCAGTCACTGAAGTGAGCAGGAATACCAGACGCCCACACATGGCTCCTTCCACAAATCCTGAGACTGTTCCCTAAAAACTCAGCTTTACACACGGGGTTGTTGGTCTTGACTCCAGTCTTTAAATCCTTCTTGGTGGGCTATAATTTTTTGTTGTGCATTTCAAGATCTTATTTAAGAACCATGAGATGCCACTTCATACCCACTAGGATGGTTATCATCAGAAAAGTGTGGAAAAAATACTAGTGAGGATGTAGAAGAAACTAGAGTCCTCATCTATTGCTGTTGGAAATACAAAATGGCTGTGAAAAGCAGTCTTGCAGCTCCTCAAAAAATTAAACAATTACCAAACCACCAACACTGAGTTGATAGAGACCCTTCAGCTGGGTCTCCAAGGCTGTAAATCTCAACTAGAGGAGACTGCCTGCCTTTCTCTTACAGAACAGCTGGTGGATTCAAACTGCCAACTTTTTGGTTAGTAGCACAGTACACTATGCCACCAGGGGTGGAAACTCCAGAGACTCGGACGCAGGGGCCCAGCTACATGCACACCAACGTGCATGGCCCCAAAGTGCACACAATCCACGTGCCCACCAACAGGTGAATGTAGAAAACAAAAAATAAAAATTAAAGGCAAAAAAAAATTAAAAATACTAAACATTGAAAAAAGGAAAAAGGCAGGCCAGGCAGCACATGTGCCTGGATATGTACAGGCTGAGTTACTGCAGTCTTACTACACCATGTGCTTTAAAAAAGAAAGAAAACACCTTTCTAAAATTTTATCAGCCTTACATTTACTGATTTAAAAAATGAATTTATACATGCATTTTAACATGTACATGTCTCTCTAGAATTAACATTCATTAAAAATTAAATCAAATAAAGAATTTAAAGAATTAAACCAATCAGCTTTGAACCCTATCACTATATTTATAACATACTATAAATAAGATATGCTAATGAGTCAGTCAAGAGCTAATCAGGAGGATAACCAAAGTGCTTTGGAAACTTTTATGCAAATTACAATAAAAGTAAAATTTTTAAAAAAGCTAATCAGGAAAGATAATGATTTCTGTTTAAAATTTAAACCTCTAACATATGGGGATGAAATAGCCTATAACGAAGCTGCCAACTTTCTGCTGGGTATTTTTTAACACATTTTTCTAACCTTTGTCTTGATCATCTAATGCTCCTATAAAAGGAATACTACAAGTGATGGCTTTAACAAACACATTTATTTTCTCACAGTTTAAGAGATTCCATGTCTGATTTGGGGTGCTGGCTTGAGAGGCAGGTTTCTTCTGTCAGGTCTGAATAAATGTCCTTCTCTTGGTTCAGCATGGTGGGCCCAGCATTCCCTGGAGACCTCCAGGTATCTTGGTTCAGCATGGTGGGCCCGGCATTCCCTGGAGACCTCCAGGTGTCATAGCATTAATCTTTCTCCGGACCTAGGAGGTTCACCATGAAAGGACCCAGTCTGGCGTGTGTGCTCCACTCCCGTTCTTCTTTCTTGGTGGTACCAAGGTTCCCTCACCCTCTACTTACTTATTTCTCTTATAAGACAAAAGGTGATGCCGGCCACATCCCAAGGAATCTCTCCTGATAGCAGATCAGAGATGCGACCTCATTCATGAACAGTGTTACATCCCAACTAATCTTTCAAGTGACCGGCTAATCACTTCTCAGATCATGTCATCATTAAATTCTATGTCCCTGAGTCAGAACTGATCCAAAGTTGACCCTGTGGATTGGTCCCTGTGGAAACAGGTTTTCAGAGGCTTCAAATCACACAGGACAAGACTGCCCGTCTTTCTTCCTTGGAACAGCTGATGGATTTGAACCACCTATGTTTGGGTTGGGTTGGCAGTGCAACTCTTGAACCATTAGGCCACCAAGAGTTCCCTCACATCATTGCAGGGGATGATTACAGGATCATGTTTGATTCGACCTCATTTTTTTTTTTTTTTATTATATTTTATTAATTTTCATAAACATTTACAGAGATTTTGGGCTTCCACTCATTCATTGTTGCACTATTCTCTTTACCCTCCTCCCAGTTTGTTCTTG